CCTGGCATAGGGTAAGCATTCAGTTGTTAGTTTGTGTTCTTTTCAAGTGCCATGCAAATAGGTATTACAAATAAACACAAAATAAATGAGGCTAAAGAAGCCCAAATGACTGTCTTTTGTGAACACATGCATGAGTGTGGAGACAGACCTGCAAAGGGCCAAAGGCAGACCACATGGTGAGTGCTGTCACACTAATAAGCATGAAGACTAGAGACAGCACGGAGGAGGCAATAGTCAGACATGGTGCTTTTATCTGTCATTTCTGTCTTTCCTTTTTCGATCTTTTCTTTTTCCTCATTCCTTCCTCACCCTCATTAATTATCTCAACAAATGTCCAAAGTTATGAGTGAATCCAACGGTGTAGAAGATGAGAGAACATTGGCAGAAGTAATATAATTATTTAGCTCTTCTTGTCTTAGGGTTAGGACTACATTTCTCTTTATTATATTGAGAATGTAATAAAACTATGCCAGGAAGGTGGCATATTTGAGCTGACAGAGCAAGGGTGCATTATGTAGTGAAAAATCTCTTATAATGAATGAAATTTGCATCTTTCAGAAATGCCATAAAGATATTTGTTAGCAAAAGAAAAAATAAACTGTGTTTATATGTGATCCTTCACTTGTGACTCTAGTGTTAATGTCGAAAGTTCCATTTTGAGCATTGGATACAATTTTCTTGCTATCTCTGTGTTGAGAAAAAGGCTGCTGTCAGCACAGTTGTTTGTAGAAGGACTCTTTACATTATATAAGGCACAAATAAGAGTGAGAAATGAGATTCTAATATTTATTTAACACCTAAAATGCCCTAGATACACAATTAAATATGACTCCATACAACACTGTTTAATTTTCCCAACTACCCTCACAATTTTGGTGGATGAGCCAGTGAGTGAGACAATTTATATTCTCTGCACATTATTCTTTTCTTTCCTTCACCATCATTTGATTCCAAAGAAAAGAAAAATTCTCACATCTCTGCCCTAGAAACAACTGACTTTTTTTTTTTTTTTTTTTAAACAGGTGACGGTATCTGTCTTGATGGAATCAGACAAAGCAGAGCCGTACAGCTTGTTTGTATTTTGCTCTTTTGACCCTCTACAGACCATGCCGGTTGCTTGCTTTCTGTTCCCTCATCCCTTCACCAACATCACCTCAGGCAGAGTTCTCAGTGCAACTTGAATATCTTTCTAGAAGTAGAGTTTTCACACTTTGGAAGAAGTCATGTCTTTATTATGCATAGTATTATCCAAGGAGCTTATTAAAAATTCAGATTCCTGAAAGACATCCTCAGAGATTCTGATCCTTTTGATAAAGGGTGGAGCTATGGAATCCAAAATTGTAGCAAGTACTGCAGGCTGCATTAACATAGGAGGTCCTTAGCCCTTGGAGAAATGTGATTCTAGGCTGTGGGTAATCCTTTCCTAGCTTCCTTGCCATCACTACTGGCTACTGGGTCATCTGGAGCTTCCTTAATGGCTTCAGCACCAGATTACCAGTTTTTCTCTCCAAAAATGCCTCGCTATTATTCTCAGTAAATTTGACATCCATTTTAATGAACCTTCTAACACGCTAGTCTCAAAATTCTTCAAATCCCTTTCAATCAAATCTTTAAAAGCTGTATTTCAGATTTTGGCATCATCTTAAATTCTTCTAAAATTTTACATTTTAAATTTTGAAAACATCCACTTCATGTAAAAGCGTTTTATCTTAACTTTCTCACTTCCTAACTTTTTAAAAATATTTTTTATTATGGCTTTGTGGAGTACAGTTAAGGGTTAGGTATACAATTATGTTTCATTCAGGCACCCTGTTGATAAGAGGTGTTTCCCCGTCCCTAGACAGATATTTGCTACTGTTAATCCCATCTCCCTCCCCCCCATAGTTTCCCAGTACCGTCAGTCATTTTCTTATAGTATTACATTATTGAGTGACCACTTCCTAGCTTTTAATTAACTATTGGCTGCTTTCATTTTAGAATAGTCTGCCTTTCTTTTTTTTTTTTTGAGTTGGAGTCTCACTCTGTCGCCCAGACTGGAGGGCAGTGGCCGCTCCCGGCCACCGCAGCCTCGACCTGCTGGGCTCCGGCGATCCTTCCGCCTCAACCTTCCCCAGTAGCTGGAATTACAGGCATGCGCTACCACGCCCGGCTGATTTTTTGATTTCTTGTAGAGATGAGGTCTCGCCTGCCCAGGCGGGTCTCGAACCCGCGGGCTCAGGCAATTCACTCACCTCAGCCTCCCAAAGGCGCGGGATGACAGGCTGAGCCACCGAGTCCGGCTAGTCTGCCTTTCAAACTGCCTTTGTTTATCTAATCAATCATGATAATAAAAATTTCCAATTGTTCAATTATTCAGTGTGTTGGGCTCTATACACAATGTTTAGTTTACATCATTTCTGCAAATATCCTGCAAAGTAGGATAGGAGCAATCATGATTAAGTAGCATTCAGTTCATTTTTCCAAGGCAAATGAAGCTGAAGGAACATGTCTGAGCTCGAAAGGAGAAGAACTTGGATCTAAAACCACATTGGATGCCCCCAAAACCCTTCCACTGACTGGCATGGCTTTTTACTTAGCTTAGAGAATATTGTCAAGACATTACTGTTTCTTTTTCTTTTTCTTTTTCTTTTTTTTTTTGAGTTGTAGTCTCACTCTATTGCCCAGACTGGAGTGCAGTGGCCACTCCCGGCCACCACAGCCTCGACCTGCTGGGCTCCGGCGATCCTTCCGCCTCAGACTTCCGAGTAGCTGGAGCTACAGGCGCACGCTACCACGCCCAGCTGATTTTTGATTTATTGTAGAGTTGAGGTCTCAGCCAAGTTGCCCAGGCGGGTCTCGAACCCACGGGCCCAGGCAATCCACTCACCTCAGCCTCCCAAAGGTGCGGGATTACAGGCTGAGCCACTGAGCCCGGCTGACGTTACTGTTTTTTGTCCCTCCTCCCTGCCCAGATTTTCCACGATACTAATTCTATTCTTGTCTGTACACTTTTACTTAACTATGACTGAAATCTATATTATACTTTCAAAATTAATGAAAAAATAAAGATCCTTTTTTTATACTAAAAATCATCTTGTTTTTTCTTCCATGCAGGATATATCATGGCTCATCTTCTGTAAATGTTGTTCATATGTGAGTTCTCCTCAACCAAATTGCAAACCCCTGGAGAAAGAAGCAGCGTATGGTAGGAAGAGCTTTATCTGTGGAGTCAGGCAGACCTTGTGGCAAACTACATTCCAGCTTTTACTGACCATATGGTCTTGATAAGTCATCACGTCGCTAATTCTCAGTTTATGGTCTACCAAAATTCACATGATCTAACATAGGATTATGGCGAAGATCAAATAATAGCTTGTATTTGCTGTGCTAGAACAACAGCACCTTGAACATAGCTGACACTCAACAAATCCTGAACTGTGAGCTCCCTGATACTGATCTCAGCCTCTCACTCCCAGTACTAATCAGTAAAAGAAAGGCCACGTTGTTGCATTTAGTAGCAATGTAGGGAAATTTAGTTAAAGCAGGAGTTAAAGCCAAAACAGCTTTCCGTTGTTGATGCGGTACAAGAAAGTCCCTACATCTTTAAGCCGTTGTTAAACGTAATCCTTAGAACTGCATAAACCTAATTTAAGCTAGCCTTGACATACTTGCACAATAACTTCTAAGTTAAAAAATAATAATAAATAAATGAAGCTTCGACCTTATAAAGCTGAGGAAGATCTCTTCAATCTGATCCCATTTCATTGAGCATATTCATTTTAGTCAATCAAAGCTAGAGTTTATGATTAAGTTCTACAATCATATTTCTTTTCCATCAAAACAAACATCGGTGCCTAAATCTACTATACTAAAGTACCAGTCACATTTTTACAGGAATGTCAATGTTTCCCGTCCTGAGCATGTGATGTTATTTGCAAAAGTCAGCCCAGCAGTATCTCATCATGAGTGCCAGTGTTGAGTTCATCTCCTCAGAGCAAACAACAGAAAGAATCAACTATTTTCCAAATCATAAACTGAGCACTTGTGAAAGCCTTATTAACTCCATGGACAAATTTCATATAAACTATATTATACATGAATGGTTTTATTTGCCAGTTATATGAGATTTATATGTTTACTATATCTGAAATTTATTTTGAAAGATATAGTGTCATCTGGTCATTGTTTTACAGTTGTTTTCTAAGTAAAATTGAGGAAGCTCTTTCCCATGAGTGAATTACTTGAATTACACAGCTGTAGGTGAACATGGCTAATTGGCCTATACAGAACTTTTCCTGAGTCAGTCTGCTAACTTTACTGACCCTCTAAAGTGCATCTAGTTTCTCAATGTCAAATTCAATTTATCCAGAAAGCTGTTTTTGTATACAAGGGTCCTGCTCCTTTTTTTCTGAACATTTTGTGTCTTCCAAGGTTGTGACACTATCCTAGATTATTTTTCTCTTGTTATCATGGAACAAAAACCATTGAAAGCCTGAAGCCAATATTACACATTGTTATATGATTGTTCAGGGGCAGAATGATACTCAGTTCCATTAAGGGACAGCCCTTCAATGTCAAGAGACCAGAGGGTTTGTTGAAATTGGACTTACCCTAGTAGTTCAAAGAGAACAATGTGGTCAATATACTCCCACCATTTGGGAAGAGAAGTCTTGCTGCTTGTCGCTGGCATGGTTTACAAGAATGAACTAATTTCAGAGACTATTATTCAGATCAGCAGTAGTTTGCATTCAAAGGATCATCCCTAAGTTCCTGTTTTTGAACTTTAGTGATGAAAAAATGCAAGTCATTTTAAGGAGGTGAGATGCTTGCAATTTGGGAGTTTTATCCGTGATCAAGAAGAGGCAATCTGACATTCTAAGGTTTATAACATGATTGGTTAGAACTGAAGTTACACGAGGTTTTTTTGGTTTTTGTTTTTTTATAAATATAGAGATACATCTAAAAATAAGGCAGATAATGAAGGCAGTTCTTCAAATAAATAATAACTCCGACAACGTTACCCAAATATGTTCTTTAGTTCTATAAGTTCTTTTTCCTTGATCTGCAGGTCATCTTCTAACCTTTCCATGATGATAACATAAGATTCACTGACTTTTTTCTTCCTTTCATCTAGCAAAGAAAAGCAAATGGGTTTGATTCATAGCTGTGTTTGCAAAATGTACACACAGATCATAACATACAAGTAATCAAAACTCTGCTTTTTATTCTGGATTCTACAATACTTAATTTAAATGACTGATTGTAAGTTTAAAATGCAGATGTTTATATTTAAAATGCAATCATATTGAATTGTAGTAATTAAGAACTCATTTGATATTGGATAATGTATTTACATAGAAGAATATATTTGACTTATTTCATTTGATTTTATTGCATTTTAATTATAGCAATCTCTGGTTGTGAGACAGTTTTTAGTTTTCAAATACTAGACACTAAAGATACAATTTTAAAATCCCTAATTTCATCAGTATTCCTTTTTTTTTCTATAATGTTATAGGAAATAAAATTATATTTTTATAAGAAGTTTTGTTTCCTGTAAAGATCTTTCAGAGAAAAAGATTCAGGTAGTCTCCCTAACACTTTAATATAACACACTGTCTTATCCTTTGCCTAAAAATTAAGACATATTCCAATGAGTTGTTAGTTACCGACTTGTTGTTAGTAACTGTAATTGAACCACATTGCATTTAAGAAAATAAGAAAAATTACCAGTACAAGTTTGAGTTGGTCTAGATTTATAATTTCCCATTTGTTAGAAATTTCTTCTTTTCTCCACTGCAGTTATTCAGGTTACAAGATTCCAAGTTCAAGTGCAGTGACAGTCTAGTTGAAAAATACTTTGATAGTCTGGCTAAAAATAAGCCAACTGCCAAATGGAATGTCATGCAACAATGACAAAGGACAAAATAGTGTGTGCTTTCAAGGGTGAAATCATAAAGGAAACTAATCAGTCTGTTTAAAAGAGCTGTATCAAAAATAAATAGCAAATGTTCCAATAGGATTATTAGCCCATCAACTGATTATCTACCCATACATTTTTCATGGGCCATTTATTTAATAGATAAATCTAAAAAGGGATTTAGTTATATCTGAAGTTCACAAAGGAGCTATTCAAACTATCTAGATCTTCTTTCAGTACTGTTTTCTCCTAAGTCAAAATAATGGCAGTTGGAAAAGAGTGACTGGTGATAGAATTTGTCTGCATAAAAAAACAATGGAAATGAGTATTCTATGACATGTAACTAATATAAATGGATGCAAGTTTTGTCTATATGAGAACTACACAGTTATGTTTGTAGGAAAAAATTCTCAACATAGACCGTGATTAATTTATACTACTTGTTGATTATTTTGACCATCAGAATAACAGATAAGAATCTAAGTGATTGAGTTCTACAAATAGCAAATCATAAAATAATAAATGATGAGACCAATAGGATTAAGAAAAAGGAGATGAAATGTTTGCTCTGCATCAGACATTAGTCAAGTGCTTTACATATATTTTGTCATTTATACCGCATACCATCCTGTAACACAGACACTATTCAAATATTATGGATAAGAAAATCCAGAGTTGCTAGTAGGTGGTGGAGTGTGGAATCAGTTCTATGTAACTCTAACGTCCAAATTAGACATTATTATTGCTATATCTCCCATAATTCACCTTTTGTTTACTTCACGGAAGTAGTTCTCTATTCTCTTTGCATATGCATATTTCTACTAAGAGGAAGAACCCAGGCTATGATGTAGAATAAATAGAAGATCAATAAATAAAGGTCACCAATTTTTTAACTGCTTATTTCTTTTAGACAGTCTTATAATACTTAGAAATTGTAAAATTTCAATCTTGATACATCCAGAGGATACAGTTTCAATGCACCAGATATGAATTTCATATATACTCTACTTAATAATGTTCCAACAACTCTTACTTTTTGAAGCAAATGCTTAGATCAATTTAGGATTCCCCATATCTTTTTTTCAGCACAAGTAGTCTAAGTTCCAGAAGAAAGGCTTCCATGCGTAGATGTAGTTAGAAAAGTAGGCATCTGACTTCATAGACAATCCTGTCTCGCCTGGATATAACCTCCTCATCCCTCCTCATCAGTACATGCCTGTCATGGCCATTGATAAACACTCTACTGCAAGAGCCTCTGGCCACTTGGCCCACTCATTTTGCGTTTTCCTTGGCTGAAGGCCAGACATCTTCGTTCCACCAGCTTTCTCTCTGCACTTGTGTGACCGCCATTCCCTCACTTTGGAAAGTCTTTGTTTTACACAAGCACCCGACTTTCTTCATCTCTGCTTCCTTCTCATCCTTGAAGATCATACTTTCGGTCTCCCAGAGCTACACCTTGGGAGATACGGCACCAGCTCTCACTCCTATCAACCCATGTGTTCTACCCCTGAATCCAGAGGGACAGGAATGGAAGCAGGGTTCTAGGTCTTCTGCGGACAACAAAATCAAGTTTTCTTATTCTTTTTTCTTATTTCTCTCTCCATCATCTCAGATCTTCCACCTGTGTGTATGTGTGTGTGTGTGTGTGTGTGTGAGTGTGTGTGTGTATGTGTGTTTGTGTGTTTATCTTTTCTACAAATAAAGGAAAAATGAGCTCTTACATCATCTTGCATTCTGTTTCCAGTTTCCTGCTTGAAACACAAATCTAATGCACTGCTTTTTAGAATTTTTCCTTTTCATTTTCAAAAATATTTTTATTCTCTCAAAAGACTGAGTTTTACAAATGAAAACTTTGACTTTCAAAGCTACAATTTCTGCAATGAGTTTGGAAATCCAATCATCAACTCAGTTGAATTCTCCCACACCCTGAAGCAATACATTTTTCTGAAAAATAAAAAAAAAATGAGAGGATAGCAACATAAGAAATGTAGGAAACGATAATCGCAATAATCACAACAGTTCCTTAGTTTTAAAGAGACATTATCTATAAGCCCTTTTTAAGAATGTGGATCTAGGTGATGGATTGCAGTGGAGTAATTCTGCATACCTTCAGTCCAAAGAAGAAAATGCTAAACGTAGTAAATGATCCAGGACAACATTCCTGCATTTCTTTCCCAAAGAAAGCTGGAGGAAAACAACATAAAATCAAAAAACGTTTTCCCCACTACTCAGTACATCTCTGTAAAAACTACTGCTTCCTTCCTAGTGTTGTCCACATGCTCTATATTGAAACTTTCTCTTCCCAGTGTTGAGACTTCCAAAATCATAAAAAGCATGTTATACCATACAGTAGCAAAAACACAACCTAGTTACAAAAATGATCATTAAAGATGATCTCTCTCTCTCTCTCAAAACCTTGGTTCCATCCCCAGAAATTTTGATTCAGTAGTTCAGGAGCAAGGACCAGGAATTTGAGTTTTCACAGGCACCCAGGTGATTCTATGTAGCTGCTAACTTGGAACATCATTTAAGAAGCATTTAAAGTGAGATGTCTGCTTACTGGAAAGTTTTAGCCTTTGAATTCTATGCCAGAGAAAAGTAGAATAAAGAGAAAAGAAAGATTGTTTCAGATTTTCAAAGGATTCTATCTCACGACAATCCCTGAGACAATAAATAATCTGGCTGCTCATGTATGTATGATTTCCTATTTTAAAAGTGACACACAAAAATGGAAGCACTAAAAATATCCTTTCATAAGTGAATGAATAACAAACTGATATATCCAGAAAATGGAATATTATTCCATAATAAAAGGAGCTACCAAGCTATGAAAAGTCATGGAGGAACTTTAAATACACATTGCTAAGTGGAAGAAACCAGTCTGATAAGCTTACGTACTGTATGGTTCCAACTATATGACATTCTGGAAAAGGCAAAACTATAGAAACAGTAAAAAGATCAGCATTTACCAGGGTAGGGGAGAGAGAGGAGGAATGAATAATAGATGGAGGGGATCTTTTGGGCAGGAAAATTATCCTATATGGTACTGTAATGGTGGATACATGACATTCTGCTTTGGTAAAACTCACGGAACTATATGACACTGGTCTAAGCTATGAGCTTTAGTCAATAGCAGTGTATCAGTATTGGTTCACTAATGGTAACAAATGTACTAAGCCCGTGTAGACTGTAAATAAGAAAAATGGCGTGGGGGGGAGGGGAGTCAAAGGAACTCTATACTTTCTGATCAATATTTCTGTACACCTAAAAGTACTCTAACAAAGGTCTATTAATTTTAGAAAAACGTGGAAAAAATAAAACAAATACATGAGAAAAAAATAGTAATTCCTTAACAAGACCATCTGAGTTATTTACGTTCATAATTTATAAGGCACAGCAAACTCTGATACATGACTAATAATAAGTATTGTTTCTTTTATGCTTGCTTGTTTTTCATTCAAAAATGTCAGGATACCTTATTTCTTAAAATATTTTGTTTTGACTAAGCTTCATGTTCTATTGAATTGCCTAAATCTAGTTTTAATGCCTCTATCTCTTCAACTGATTTATCAGACCACATCTGCATACACACAGATACGGTCTAATACTCCTTCAATGAACCTGTTTACAGTCTTTCTGATTTACTTTATTTTAGGTTCATTTAATTTATTTATTCCCATCTACACTTATGCATCTGCTATCTACATGTGTCTTACACTTGTTTCTCCATAAGTATTTAAAATAATGCTTTCAAGATGAAGACTGTTAAAATTAACTGTGACACTTCTATGTATTTTTTTCCAACAGAAAAAAATTATAAACATGGATTACATGAAATCAAACTGATGCATCTGAAACAACTCTTATCACACTTACAAATGCAAGCTCATTTATACTTAAACCCCAGATCATTCCTTCATTGCATATGAGAACTTATAAAGACAAGGGGGACCCCAAAGAACCCCAGAATTTATTTTTAGAAAATTGTGTACTTACCCTGACATGTTTAAACTTAAGACACCTTCAAAGTACTCTCCCCTTGATGCAATGCATCTATTGAGAAGCCTTTTTCACTGCTCAAAACAGTTTTTGAACTTGTCAATTTTGATGCCTTTCAGTGCTTCTGCTGTTTTTTTTTTGTTTCACCTCTTCCACATGGGCAAAACATTTCTCTTTAAGGATTTTTTAATCCAGGGAAACAAACAAAAAAAGTCATTCAGGGCAAGATCAGGTGAATAGGGTGGGTAGGACATGAAGGTCATGTCCTTTGGGGTCAAAAACTGTTGAACATTCAGCATGGAGTGGACAGGTGTGCTTGTAAATCACCGTCATGAAATGGTCAAAGGCATTTAAAGAGTCTCCAAAAAAAAAAAAGAATTTAACGCAGCCTCTCCGACAATGCTAGCTGGTACACCGACGCTAACGGGTTCCTAGAACACTTACCTCCCTGAGGAATCCTGCACTACAAAGGGCCCAAAAGATACTTCTGTGGGTTTTTTATTGTTGTTTTGAGATTCCCCCTTGTATATTCCCAAGTTGATCTGGTTGACAAGAAACCAAGGCAAGCACTGCGTAAAATGTAAGAAGGCAGAATTACTTGTTAGTTTATATTTAGGTTTTAATAAGGATTAAATTATTTATATAGAACCAAAGTCACTTAAAATGAGAAATTGAGCATTGACTAAGATGCCTACAACAATTCAAGTTTATAAAATTATTTGATTAATTTTCCTTTAAGCAATATATTTCTGCATTTAAACAAGAATCATTTGTAAGGTTTTTATTTACCAAATGGCTTCCCTTTCTTTTCCTCTAGAATACCTAAATTTATAGTATGTTGGGTGAAACTATAAATCACCATCATGAATCTCAACTTGTTTAGGTAATATGCAGATTAATCCTGCAAAATGAATAG